GATTGCAACGTAACCTGACGAGTTTCCGAATCATTCCTCATTCTTTTCAGCGTTTTAATCCTCTCTCACTTGCGTATTTTTTTTTTATATTTTCCGCTCTCGAAATTTCTGTATCTCGCTAATGGGCGAAACATGTACGCTTCTGTTTTATTGTGCTTTCATTGTTATTCTGTTCGCCGTGGTAAACGCAGTGATCTGTAATCATAAAAATGGAATATTGGAAGACTGAAAAATTTTCAAATAAAGTGATCAACTATATTGACTAAACCTGTGAAAATTGATTTCTTATTTTAAATTGTGAATATTTGGTGGTACGGGTCGAGTAGCTACGCGAGGTAGTGCTACGCGTTGAGTAGTCATGCGTGGTAGTGCTACGCGTCGAATAGCCACGCGTGGTAGTGCTACGCGTCAAGGAACCACGCGTGGTAGTGCTACGCGTCGAGTAGCCACGCGTGGTGTCGCTACGCGTCGAGTAGCCATGCGTGGTAGAGTGCTACGCGTCGAGTAGCCACGCGTGGTGTCGCTACGCGTCGAGTAGCCATGCGTGGTAGAGTGCTACGCGTCGAGTAGCCACGCGTGGTGTCGCTACGCGTCGAGTAGCCATGCGTGGTAGAGTGCTACGCGTCGAGTAGCCACGCGTGGTGTCGCTACGCGTCGAGTAGCCATGCGTGGTAGAGTGCTACGCGTCGAGTAGCCACGCGTGGTGTCGCTACGCGTCGAGTAGCCATGCGTGGTAGAGTGCTACGCGTCGAGTAGCCACGCGTGGTGTCGCTACGCGTCGAGTAGCCATGCGTGGTAGAGTGCTACGCGTCGAGTAGCCACGCGTGGTGTCGCTACGCGTCGAGTAGCCATGCGTGGTAGAGTGCTACGCGTCGAGTAGCCACGCGTGGTGTCGCTACGCGTCGAGTAGCCATGCGTGGTAGAGTGCTACGCGTCGAGTAGCCACGCGTGGTGTCGCTACGCGTCGAGAGTAGCCACGCGTGGTAGTACTACGCGTCGAGTAGCCACGCGTGGTAGTACTACGCGCCGAGTAACCACGCGTGGTAGTGCTACGCGCGGAATAGCCACGTGTGGTAGTGCTACGCGCCGAGTAACCACGCGTGGTAGTGCTACGCACCGAATTACTACGTGTCGAGTAACCACGCGTGGTGACGCTATGGGTGGAGTAACTACGCTCCAAGATTTTGTCAAACTGTCTCCTCGAGACAAAGTATCATCGCATAATGTAGTTCAGATTATTTAATTTTATGTTTCAATTTAAATACAATTATGAAACGTCCTAAGGTGAAATTATCCGATACACAAGGAAAGATAAGAAAGGATGGAAGAAGTTTAATGGACGGACACAAAGTTTGCGAGAATAAGAAAGGAAGAAGTATCCATAGGTCTAACAGTTTGGACAAATATTAAGTTTGTTTGGAAAGTCGTTTATCGGCGGGATTGGAGGGGTTCGAGCCTCAAAATCTTGTTGGATTAAGTAGGAAACCTTCCCCTAAAAGGGACAAGGGGATGAGAAATGATCCCATTGTATGATGGAAGTTCCCGAAGAGATGGCTCCGCTCGTCGAATGCAATTTCGCCAACTTCCGATTTCCTATTTAACAAACCAGTTCCAGACTTCTCACGTCTGTGTTTCTTGCGTAAACTGTCGGTAAATGGTTCATCTACCAATTCGAGGAACTACACTTTCGGATAATTAAACATCTCTAATTTAACTCCGCTATTTCGATCGACGATGGCGGCGGTGGGATAAGGATTGGCGGGAAATTTGAAATTACTTTTGGAGATTCATGAAATATTAACACATTCAAATATTAAAATTATAAAAAAATAATTGCATAATGGAACAATTACAACAAATGAGAGAAATTGAACAAAAAAGTTGTAAATATAGGAAACCCTTGCAACTTTAACAGTCTTAGAAGTATGGCGGTGGTGTGACGAGAATTGGCGGGAGATTTGAAAAGGTTCATGAAAAACTAAGTCATTCGACAATAAAAGCACTGAAAACTTGTAAAATAAACAAATTACATACCAATCGAAATTAAATAATAAAAAAAATAAAGAATTTACATAAATAAAAATTTGCAAAAATCCTCGCGAACTTAAAAAAGTGAACAAGCTTGATATATTGTTACTGCAGAATAATTAATCATATAGGAATTGAATAAATTCTTCGTGCCTGAGTTGAAACACTCCCCTACCGATATCGGAAAATGTTCACATTTTTCTATGTTTCTATGTATTATAAAAAGTATGCAATTTGAAACAATTGGGGAATGTACACCGTAATTTCGCGGGCTCAAATATTTGGCTGGATGAATAATATTTGAGAATCCCGCGAACTCCTTCCGCCCACTTTGCCGCACACCGAAAATAGTCTTCTACGAAAATACTGAGTACACGAAAACATTTTTCCTGGCATTCCGAGCTCCATTGAAAAAGTATACAAATGAAAACCTTCGATACCAAATGTATCGAAGCTGAGAATCGAGCGCCGCGGAAGAAATTAACTGCCGTCAGTCGCAGTAATATTAAGCTTTCATTCGTCGAAACGTTTCAATAGAATTTCCTTGAAATATTTGAAACATTCAGAAATGTATTTGGTGCGAAAATTCACTTGACATACTATTACAGAATATTTTCACGAATACGTTCTTCAAGCGTCAACAAGCGTGACAAGTTGAGAACCCCTGTTCCCTATAACCAAATCCCGCCTCTCCCGTAAAGCTGATCTCGAACGAACAAACTTCCCGTAAGATTTTCCCTCATTTTCGATAGAACAATCGCCTGGCGTCGTCAAAAATTACGACACACCCAGTCACGATCGAAAAATCGCTCGACAAATAGCAGGATTTGCGAACAAAAGTGGGTTAGGTCGTTCTTGGCTTCGTCCATGAAACTCCATCGTTTCGTGAAGTGCATAAATGCGCTTGCTCTCGAAAGGCCAACGATTTGTATGCACTTTCTCGGGAATACAGTCGGTTACACCCACACTGGTTCTGCGAGGGAACTGCAGCCGATTCCACCGCCAACAAACGTGTTCCCATTCCTTCTATGTTATTTTTCACGTCCACTCCTCTTCTTTAGGACGCCGTTCTCGCACCTTCACTACCCGATGGCTTTGAAAGAAGCTGGCTAGGCATATACGAAGTCAAATTGAGCGATTCTTAATGTTTGAATTATTAGGGCATTTTTTAAAGAAATTTAGGAAGGTATTATACTTTGATGGTACTTTAGATACTTTGATGGTGTCTTAGTAGATGATAAATAGTTGCGAAAGGGGCACTTGTTATATTGTAGTGGCAAGGGTAGTCGAGTGAGTGGGCATTCATTGATAGGTGTCTGACAGGAAGTTATGTGCGGTGCCGTAACGTCGATGTAGCATAGATGTTACTATGTGGCGATTAATAACACGTGGAAGGACGCGAGGAAGCATGTGTCGCCACGCATCGACTACTCACGTACTGATTAACCACGCGTGGTGTTACTACGCGCTGAGTAAGCACGCGTGGTGTCGCTACGCGTCGAGTAGCCACGCGTGGTAGTGCTACGCGTCGAGTAGCCACGCGTGGTAATACTACGCGTGGTAATACTACGCGTTGAGTAGCCACGCGTGGTAGTGCTACGCGTCGAGTAGCCACGCGTGGTAATACTACGCGTGGTAATACTACGCGTTGAGTAGCCACGCGTGGTAGTGCTACGCGTCGAGTAGCCACGCGTGGTAATACTACGCGTGGTAATACTACGCGTTGAGTAGCCACGCGTGGTAGTGCTACGCGTCGAGTAGCCACGCGTGGTAATACTACGCGTGGTAATACTACGCGTTGAGTAGCCACGCGTGGTAGTGCTACGCGTCGAGTAGCCACGCGTGGTAATACTACGCGTGGTAATACTACGCGTTGAGTAGCCACGCGTGGTAGTGCTACGCGTCGAGTAGCCACGCGTGGTAATACTACGCGTGGTAATACTACGCGTTGAGTAGCCACGCGTGGTAGTGCTACGCGTCGAGTAGCCACGCGTGGTAATACTACGCGTGGTAATACTACGCGTTGAGTAGCCACGCGTGGTAGTACTACGCGTTGAGTAGCCACGCGTGGTAGTGCTACGCGTCGAGTAGCCACGCGTGGTAGTACTACGCGTTGAAGCCACGCGTGGTAGAGTGCTACGCGTCGAGTAGCCACGCGTGGTAGTGCCATGCGCCAACTAACCTTGCGTGGTGTCTCTACGCGCCGACTAACCTTGCGTGGTGTCTCTACGCGCCGAATAACCACGCGTGGTAGTACTACGCGTAGAGTAACCTTGCGTGGTGTCGCTACGCATCGAGTAACCACGCGTGGTGCCTCTTGCGTGATACCTCCACGCGTTGAATAACCTTGCATGGCGATGCTACGTATTGAATACCCATGGGTGGTATTATTACCCATCGATGATCACGTCACGCACCAAATAATCATGCTTAATACCCCTGCAAACTATAATCCCTCTAATTACTCTTCAGAATGCCCTTAATATAGGAAATTATTCTATTATTTGAGGCAGCATATTCATATAATACCCTCCATGATTTCACATTGTTTAGTAAATAAAATTGCACCTCTTGTTTAAAACCCCAATTATTAAATTTATTTTGCACTTCAGATACACGTTACACTGCAATTATTTTTGCGTCAGAATTACTTGAACGTTTTGAAAGCTGAATAATGCTTTGTAGATATCGCTGATTCTTTGTTCCCTTCGCTGCGAAACGTTACACCTCCATTTCTTCGTCTGTGGCTTATTAAGAAATTTAATATTCTTGTGCTCAGTTTTCTTCTGTGTGAAAATTTAATATTTTTCCTTTACCCATTCACTCCTATTTCGCTTGGAAAAAAAGTGCTTGAGTTTTTAACGGTGTAATTCAATTTCGCAATATGTTATAACGTTATCAAGGAAAATTTCCTCGTGTTGAGTACACTTTTTCGTTTTTATAATTTAATTTTTTCTGCTGCGTTGTTACAGGTGGTACGAGCTGCCAGTCCGGTTCTTCTTCGTGTCATTGTGCTTGGCGCATTTTTCATTTATTGCACGGTGAGTAATTTGATAAAATCTTGAAATTTATTCTTTTTGTGAAAAGTATATAATTCAATTTTCGGTCGAATTATTTACAGAAGGTATATCGTATTACAGAATTCATACACGATATTTGTTAAAACGTTTCATTTAAAATTAACGAGTATCGACGATAGAATTAATGACTGCAATTTATTCAATAATTCATTGAAAATTTATTTGACAATTCTGCCGTTTATTGCGTATTCCCAAATTCAATGTAAAATTAATAGGAATTTAATGCACATCGAAATTGTTCGATTTTCGTTTTATTCTAAATTTCCGTCCGCGCAATATTAATATTGTATTTTATGAGGATTGCCTTAACAAATAATTTTCCTGAAAATTGTCGGTCTTATTTTGAAATTGATACTGCTACAAATGTTTTCACGGAGTCAAGCTCATCGACAAACATTTTCAGCAATATTGTTCTGCCATTCGTGAAACATTTGATATTCAATGAACGTCAGAATCAACAAACTGTTCGGTATCGAACGGTCAAATATCTGGATATCATTAATCGTTAATCGACATGGAAAATATTAAAAATTCTGCGTGCTTGAAGTAATACGAACTGCAGGGACTGAAATATTGAAAATCTGTTATTAACTTGCACATATATTCGTACACATAACACAACTGTTTGTATTGCGACGTTGCAGCTTCGTGATTTTCTTTCTCAAACATTTCGGCTACAAAATTCGCATTGTAGTTCCACTTGAAAATTGTTCTGTTTTTCAATTTTATATTTTAGTCATTTTATCTGCTTTTGAGTTCTGCAGTTTTACAATTTTTTAATTTACTAGTTTTTCCAATTTTCTCAAGTTCCAATTTTCTAATTTTCCTATTTTCTCAAGTTCTAATTTTCTAATTTTTCCATTTTCTCAAGTTCCAATTTTCCAGTTTTCCCATTTTCTCAAGTTCCAATTTTCCAGTTTTCCCATTTTCTCAAGTTCCAATTTTCCAGTTTTCCCATTTTCTCAAGTTCCAATTTTCCAGTTTTCCCATTTTCTCAAGTTCCAATTTTCCAGTTTTCCCATTTTCTCAAGTTCCAATTTTCCAGTTTTCCCATTTTCTCAAGTTCCAATTTTCCAGTTTTCCCATTTTCTCAAGTTCCAATTTTCCAGTTTTCCCATTTTCTCAAGTTCCAATTTTCCAGTTTTCCCATTTTCTCAAGTTCCAATTTTCCAGTTTTCCCATTTTCTCAAGTTCCAATTTTCCAGTTTTCCCATTTTCTCAAGTTCCAATTTTCCAGTTTTCCCATTTTCTCAAGTTCCAATTTTCCAGTTTTCCCATTTTCTCAAGTTCCAATTTTCCAGTTTTCCCATTTTCTCAAGTTCCAATTTTCCAGTTTTCCCATTTTCTCAAGTTCCAATTTTCCAGTTTTCCCATTTTCTCAAGTTCCAATTTTCCAGTTTTCCCATTTTCTCAAGTTCCAATTTTCCAGTTTTCCCATTTTCTCAAGTTCCAATTTTCCAGTTTTCCCATTTTCTCAAGTTCCAATTTTCCAGTTTTCCCATTTTCTCAAGTTCCAATTTTCCAGTTTTCCCATTTTCTCAAGTTCCAATTTTCCAGTTTTCCCATTTTCTCAAGTTCCAATTTTCCAGTTTTCCCATTTTCTCAAGTTCCAATTTTCCAGTTTTCCCATTTTCTCAAGTTCCAATTTTCCAGTTTTCCCATTTTCTCAAGTTCCAATTTTCCAGTTTTCCCATTTTCTCAAGTTCCAATTTTCCAGTTTTCCCATTTTCTCAAGTTCCAATTTTCCAGTTTTCCCATTTTCTCAAGTTCCAACTTTCCAATTTTCCCATTTTCTCAAGTTCCAATTTTCCAATTTTCTCAAGTTCCAAATTTCCAGTTTTCCCATTTTCCAATTTTCCAATTTTCTAATTTTTTTTCTATTATCCAATTTCCCAATTTTCTAATTTACTAGTTTCTCCATTTCCATTTGTCCTGTCTCCAAATTTTCAAATGTTCTCACGTCCCAATTTTCTATTTTGTCAGCTCTCTATTGTCCAATTTCCCACTTCCCGAATTAAGCACCGATGTTAATTTCAAGAAGGTTCTCAAAATTCAATGGCTATATAACAGGTGTCTCTTGTACGATGACTTAACAAGAATAGGGGTAATTGGTGACCGCGAATGTTTTGAACAGCGCGTTGTACAAGCACGTTTCATGAAAGTACGTCTATTAATAAGGTTCAAGTACAGTTTCAAGTGCCGTTGAAGTTAATTTTATTGAGAAGGCGACGATGATAGGCATTAAAGGAGCAATTGGCCGTTTCGTTTAGTGGCTTTTATCCGATAAACGGCAGCGCCTTACTTCCCGGTTAGATCGAGAAATATATACGGCACATCGACACGAGAGGCAGCATGATAAAAGGTGAACGAAGAGAATCTAATTGGAAATGCTCGGTTAATGTGGCACGCGATTCATCGGTGGACTATCAAAATTATTCTCTCGATTACCAATTAGTGCAATCACGCGATATGTAGCGTGAAACGGCCCTGGTATTTTCCACCGAATTATCGAAAATGGCAAACGATAATGTGAATTATGTCGATATTGTTACACTAATTGCGATTTTAACGGAGATGCTGAATGTTATGTTTGTTGCAAGGAACATTTTCTATCATTTCCACACTTTCCATTTTCATATTTTTTATTTTCACATTTTCTACCTTTTCACTTTTTCAGTTTTCCACTTTTCCCATTTTTTCATTTTACAATTTTCACGTATTCCCATTTTCCAATTTTCACCTCTTTCCATTTTCCAATTTTCCACTTTTCCCATTTTCTCATTTTACAATTTTCACGTATTCCCATTTTCCAATTTTCACCTCTTTCCATTTTCCAATTTTCAACTTTTCCCATTTTCTCATTTTCCAATTTCCACATATTCCCATTTTCACCTCTTTCCATTTTCCAATTTTCAACTTTTCCCATTTTCCAATTTTCACCTTTTTCCATTTTCAAATTTTCACATTTTCCAATTTCCACATTTTCTCATTATCCCATTTTCAAATATTCCGACTTTTCCAATTATCCACTTTTTAATTTGCAGCTCCCCATCAATTTTCTATTAATTGATTTATTAGTTGCTTTACACATTAATTACTTTAATTGATAAGTGACGTATTCATTGATTAATTTCCATCAGTCCATCAGCCCGAAACACAGGTACGTTTGATGCGTTATGAACGATCGATCGAACGAAAATACAGAAAGTTGGAAGTCAGAGAAAGTTAGTTTTATTCGCGGCGTAAGTGGATGTTTTTCTTTCCATGTCGGAACACCTGTACCGATATTGTTGGAAATTCTGGCAACGAAAGAAAATTCGCCTCTTGGCAAATCGAGTTTAGCGTGCGCCGTTCGGTGGTGAAAAAAAAATGTGAAGAGAAAGCAATTTATTTGTTTCAGACGATAGTAATGTACCCCCGTCCAAACGTTATTACGTGCACGGTGCGAGTTTGGCTGCGAGAAATTGGATTTTCCCTCACCTATGGCGCCTTAATGCTCAAAACTTGGCGGTGAGTAAGAATAACGTTTCTAATGCTCTTCAACTTTATGATTGTCGGAACGGAAATCTTTGACTACAGAAATTCAACCGGAAGAAACTTTTCATATCTGATTTTCTACGACTTCAACGACGTTTTCATGATTTCAAGATATGCTCTATTGCCTGCAGCTCTTTTCTGTGACTTACAGTCATTTTCCATAACTCAAACATTGCTTTCCATGACTTGTAGGTTATTTTCCTTCACTCAAGTACGATTTTCTACGACTCAGAAGGATTTCCCATGTCTTAACATGTTTTTATATGACTCAAAGAGAATTCCCCATGACTCAGGTACAATTTTCTACAACTTACGAAGATTTTCCATGACTTAAAATGTTTTTCTATGACTCAAAGAGATTTTTCATGACTTATGATGACATCCCATGACAAACTCAAACATTGCTTTCCATGACTTGTAGGTTATTTTCCTTCACTCAAGTACGATTTTCTACGACTCAGAAGGATTTCCCATGTCTTAACATGTTTTTATATGACTCAAAGAGAATTCCCCATGACTCAGGTACAATTTTCTACAACTTACGAAGATTTTCCATGACTTAAGATGTTTTTCTATGACTCAAAGAGATTTTCCATGACTTATGATGATATCCCATGACTCAAAGACAATTTTCCTTGACTCAGGATATGATTTTCCATAACTTAGGAGGATTTTCCATGTCTTAACATGTTTTTCTATGACTCAAAGACAATTTCCCATGACTCAGGTACAATTTTCTACAACTTACGAAGATTTTCCATGACTTAAAATGCTTTTCTATGACTCAAACAGATTTTCCATGACTTATGATGATATCCCATGACTCGATGTCAATTTTCCTTGACTGAGGATATGATTTTCCATAACTTAGGAGGATTTTCCATGACTTACAATGATTTCCCATGACTCAAAGACAGTTTCCCATGACTCATGTGAATTTTTCATAACTCATAGGTAGTTTTCCATGACTCAAAGTGTTTTCCTAGACTCAAGAAAGTTTTTGTTCAATATGCAGAGCTGTCCCTCGATCTTTTCATAGTCCAAAATGTTCTAAACTCGTTTCGGGAGGCTTCTGCAGCTTCCACAAATTCTGTATGATGCAGCGTAGTTCCACAACAGCTTTCTCACACGTTGATGACATTCTGTATAATTTCCACATATTTTCCGAACCTCCCTAACTTACCACATAAATAATTTCCTATTTCGGCCGGCATCTTCCATAAATAACCCCGTCAGCTTCGGCTCCCCCCAGGACCCTTAAGGTAGAATAGAAATTCCAGTCAAACACGTTTCGCCGTAAAACCTATTTGAAGGATGAGTATTATTAATTAAATCGCGAGGACAGAAACGTTTACCGTGGCGTGCATCGTCCCCGGTAATCCTCGGATCTCCGTTAAATAAATAAATGTATTAAGTTAAGAGAAGGTTTTATCGCGTCAGCGGTGGACAGGAAGCGTAGCGAAAGGGAGGCGCGTGGCTCGGAGCTTTACCCGGCTGAAACGGGAGCATCAGTCTAACTGGCTAACGGATTCGGGGAAAACTGGAGCGAACTTTTTTCTCCTGTATCCGACCGACAAAGGGTGGAGAGGCGGGATTGACGAGAAAGAATAGGGGATGAAAGTAGTGGGCAATCTTTGTCCTGGCATCTGCGCAGCACCGGAAATCCTGCAACTGCTCGAAAATACGAATCCCCTGGGAAGTGTGGAGGGGGACTAGAAGCGGACCGTTACACACTCGTTGACCAGCGATCGTCGAAAACTTTTGACCTCGTTCTCTGCATTTCGACCGGGCTTATCGCTAAAAATCTATCGGAAAGAAAGGTCCACCGTACTGTAGACATTGCCAATACGATTGTTTCCTACGACCGAAACTATGAAAAATGGCTTTGATCGTATGACTACAGTCTCGGTTCTTACGACTTGAGAAATTCTACGGATGGTCGAGTGCTTCTGGGAGTTTCTTTTGCTTCCATTCATCAATTCTGGACCGTCTGTTCGTGTAGCAGATGTTCTTACAGAAAATTCTTTCGAGTTGTGTAAAATTTCGATGAGTCACAAAAAGAAAATTCCATAATTATACCTTTTCGATACTTCAAATGACTCTCAATTACAGAGGAACCCTCTTGAGTCATGGAAAAATCTCCTCAGTCATGGAAAACTACTTTTGAGTCATAGGAAATCTTTATGAAGTCATAGAAAATCTTCTTTGAGTCATGGAAAATTTATTTGAGTCATGGAAAACTACTTTGAGTCATGGAAAACTACTATGAGTCATGGAAAAACTACCCTGAGTTATGGAAAAGCTGCTAAGTCATGGTAAAACTGCTCTGAGTCATGGAAAAACTACTCTGAGTCATGGAAAAATTGCTGACTCATAGGAAAATTTCTTTGAGTCATGGAAAATCTATTTGTTACCCTAAAAGACCTCTTTGAGATAGATTCCTCGTAATATGCATAGCTATTTGTGTAATCCTAGAACACTTAATCCCCGTTTGCACTTCAGTTTGAGACCATCATATAAGTTCGTAGTCCAGTGTGAATATTGCAACATAGATACATCGATCTCAGCCCCTATATTTTTGACCAAGGCATCCATCTTCGCGTCCGTTTCAATATCGAGCACCGCCTGGCATTTAACCAAACTTATTCAGGACCAGGAAAGCACCATCGCCCTGTCATGTGTCCTCCAGAAAATTGATTGGTCCTCAGAGACGGTGGTGAAACGTCGATACCTAGCATCAAAGGCAGTTCGTAGCAGGTGATAGAGGTCGCAGGAATTCCGGCAGGGACGTCGAAACTTTTCCCAGCTCAACAACTTCTCAACGCGACTCCTTAATCGCCTCGAGTGGTGCTCGTGGTGGAGACAATCAGGTCAACCGGTACACACGTAACTACTAGGCAAATGAACGGTTGGCCAGCATGGGAATCGGTGATTAGAAACGTGGCCCGAGATTGTTTTGCCTTCACATTCGACAGCCTACTCAGGATCAATAAATCCTAGGGCATTCACGCTAATCTTCGACAAGTGATCGATGAATTGTCCACCGTGGCCTAGGTGTAAATTTGTGGAATTCGATTGGACGAGGTGATTAGTCTTGCGACGCGATGATTCCATGCCTGTTTGCGGAACCGATGATGACACTTCGCAGGGACCTTCCGCACAACCGTACGATTTAGCCCTTTATTGATCTGGACACGCTATTGACATGTCTCTGGCAATCGGTACAGCTAGAAACGATCCAAAAGGTCCTTTCATAATTGATCAGTCGGCAAAGGGACTTCAAAGTTACCACATCCACAAAGTACGTTTTTTCCAGCTGGCCGAGGCTGAAACGGTGATCCAAAGATTAAAGGACAAAGGATGAAAGCTGGTCCGCCCAGAGGCTTCAGCATGAAAGCTAACTCTTTCCAAGACGAGTTAAAGGGAGTCTGTATGAAGTTCAAGCCGAAAACTTTGCCGAGATTCAACGGAGGTTCCTCAACTGTATTAAGAGTTCACCAAGTTCATTACGTAAATTTGGTTGGTTGGTGTGCTCGCTAATAGCCGCGCCATTAAGTGGACGCTAAGACGATTATCCTGGACGTCTGCTCCTCTTGCACGACCTCGAGTCACTGTACTCTCACGTTGTTTCTTTTATTGGCTCGAGTGCATTTCGAGGGGAGGGATTTCATTTCTGAAGTAGCATCGTTGGCTAGGGGAAAATCTGAGTGTTCTTATTGTGGAGAGGCATCGAATTGCGGTGGACAATTGACCTCCTTCGGAAATCGAATTTTTTTATTGCTTCCGGTGTTCTGCGAGTCCTGTATACTTAGAAAACATGTTAGATTCCTAGGACTCTGGTTTTGCTTTCAGCACATCGGTACGATTTTCCATAACTTAGGACGATTTTCTATGACTTGAGATGTTTTTCTATGACTCAAGGAGATTTTCCATGACTTATAATGACTTTCCATGACTCAAAGACAATTTTCTTTGACTCGAGGTACGATTTTCCATAACTTAGGAAAGTTTTCCATGACTTAAGATGTTTTTCTATGATTCAAGGAGATTTTCCATGACTCAAAGACAATTTTCTTTGACTCGAGGTACGATTTTCCATAACTTAAGAAGGTTTTCCCTCTCTTGAGATGTTTTCCTATGACTCAAAGAGATTTTCCATGACTTATAATGATTTTCCATGACTCAGAGGCAGTTTTCCTTGACTCAAGGCATGATTTTCCATAACTTAGGAAGGTTTTCCATGACTTAAGATGTTCTTGTATGACCCAAAGAGATTTTCCATAACTTACAATGATTTCCCATGACTCAGAGACAGTTTTCCTTGACTGTAGGTACGATTCTCCATCGCTTACGAATATTTTCCATGACTTAAACTGTTTTTCTATGACTCAAAGAGATTTTCCGTGACTTACAATGATTTTCCATGACTCAAAGACCGTTTTCCTTGACTCAAGGTACGACTTTCCATAACTGAGGAAGGTTTTCCATGACTTAAGATGTTTTTCTATGACTCAAAGAGATTTTCCATGACTTACGATGATTTCCTATAACTCAAAGACAATTTTCTCTACAAAGTAATTATTACAAAGTAATAGTTTTATGTATATAAAGTTTGTCTTATATAAAGGAGCAGTGTGAAATATATGTAGATGGTATTAACAGGTGTTTTGCTTTCAGCATATCGGTGATATTCAGGGTGAAGTCCGCCAAGGCAGTGAAAATAACGGACGGCAGCCTACTGAAGCGTCTGGGCATCATCGTGATGATATTCAGCGTGTTTCTGAGCATTCGCACCCTGGTTGCACCGCCTGTGGTCATCGTCGCGCGCACAGCCGATGATCTGAAGGCTTATCTCTGCCGAACCGACTGGTGGGATCACAGTTTTACCACACGTGAGTGATTCGACACACCCTCGTCACCTCGTACAATCTTTCTGTATTTCAACCTCTGGGACGTCTTGTCACGCCATGTTGTGGAAATTTAGATACACCGAACTGATTGATTGACCTAGGAACTTCGATTCATTTTCGTAACCTTCGGTAAAGGTTAAAGATAAATAGGACGTGACGTAGTTTGGTCTACTTCAACTAGATTGAAGTTATGGCAGCTATAATACAAACATGTTATATCGATTTCTAATACTGTTATCTACAACGTGTAACAAATTGAATGAATTTTAGATAATTTTTTATATGTATCTACATGTAGTCCGCTCAAAGTCGTAAAAGTTTAAGTGGTTCTAGTTAGTAGTCTCGTAGAATCTTTTAAAAGTGGTAAATCAAGATGTAACAGAATCCTGCTAAATACCCGATGAAACCACCAAGTCGAAGTTTAATAAGTCCGTTGGTAATTCGCCGGAGAGACATCACGGTAGCTGATTTTCCAAGTTGCTGTGATTAACTTCACATTGGCAAAGTTTCCTTCTGGTACATTATCAAAGGAAATTTCCCGGTGAAACGTACTGAAAGAGATACCGGGCGTCGTTTCTTGGAAAGTTAGCACCGGTGCCAAGAAATCTTTGACCATTCAAGAAAGTGATCAAACACCAGTTTTCTGACGAACTAAAAAATGTATCTGTAAAAATTCTGATCGGGCTTTTTCTGAAAGGAAAGTATCGATATAATGAAACAAAGGCAGCGTAAAAACACAGAGTGAAATGATACGAAGCGGAACAATCGCGAAAGGAATAAGCTATAATCTGCAAGTTTCCTCTCAGAACAACACATTTAAACCGCCAGTTTAATTAACTTGCCGGTAATCACAGAACGTCCGTTGATAAAACAATTTCGCAACAAAATTAACTTCGACCGAACTTGTCGGTTCGGAAATGATGGAAATTGAATATTTCTAAATTTAGCAAATTTTCCTTCCTTTTGAAAGGCTGCATTTCATTGCTAAGATGATCGAGTGCTGGGAAAAAAGCCAGAATTTTTAACAAATAGAAGCTTCGTGAGTGCTCGTTGGCTGATGTCCAAAACAGAAATTCTCTCGCGAGAACTTTTTTGCAAATTTTAGTGGAAAAGATCTTTTTTTGTGGGTCGTGAGGAGAATCGAGGGTTAAAAATTGAACAGTGGTTCTCAGTTGAACCTTGCAGCGAATACTTTATTTTAAGGAAATAATTTACATTCGAGAAGAATTTTGCCCACGGCCTTGGTGAACTAGTTCTCAGCTTCATACAGATGTTAAACTAACATTAATAAGTTGGGTTAAACAAATATGAGAAGTTTGTGTATGAAGGAGAAGTGACGTGCGAGTTTGAATGGATTTGGTGTGATCCGACGTCAAGCCAAAACGGGACCGGTCATCGTCTGGGATGGGTGACCGCTTTTTCTCATGACGTGCGCAATAAAAAATTAAAAAGTAGAAAATCGGGAAAAATGAAGGAAAAGTGGATAGAAAATAAGGAAAACAACTAAGAAAATGAAATGGAAAATAAAAAAATGGAAGGAAGTGAAATGGAAAAATAAAAAATGGAAGGAAATGAAATGGAAAAATAGAAAAAATGGAAGAAAATAAATTAGAAAATAGGAAAATGGTAAAAAATAAAAAAATGGAGAAGAAAACGAAATTGAAAAATACAAAAATGAAAGAAAACTAAAATGGAGGAAAATGAAACAAGTAGGGGAAGAGAAGGAGAGGGAAAAAAGTACAGAAGAAAATATATAGAAGACAATAAAGAAGGAAATGGACAATAAAATTAGAACAGAAAAGAAGTAGAACGAAAAGAAAAATAGAAAAAAGAGGAAGGAAAATCAATAAGAACGAAAATAAAGAAAAATGAAGTTATTTGAAATCCTCTTCACGGTAAAAATCCTCCAACGATATTACTGGCTATAAATAGAATCTTGAGCAATATATAAGATATTTCTACCAAAATGGTCATCCTTGAAAGGACTGATAAACAACTTAAAAGGTAAACCGATAGCAGTCTTTATTTGATTCCGCCGTGAAAGGAGTAACGTTTTATCAGAACCATTATCGCGGGGCGCGCCTTTTCAAGCAACGAAATTCGATTTTCGAATATCAGACCGATCGATTCGCTTGGACTGTTTGAAGATTAAGATGGCCCGATACCAATGCATATCGAAGCGACTCGATAACGGCTTATAAACTGACGACGACTACAGATAAGATATTTCCAAGTCCAAATATTTGCATATTTAACAGGAAATATTCTGACGAATTATTGACTCTGTTTTCGACGTGGTATCTTAATATATTTTCAACGAAAAATGAAGGCAACGAGATACAGCTTGTATCGAGGAACTATTTTAGGTAATTACGGTCTGAACAATTAATAATTGCTCGAACGGAATAGGCGTACGTATTTTGGTACATCCTGTATATTTCAGGTTTAGTGGAAACACGGTTCTTTACTCAAGCTCGATATAGCTGCGCTAGACACCATCAATTTACAAAACAACCGAGTCAACGTTTATAGACTATTTTTGCAACTGCTAATCTAATTCAATCCTGCCATTTACCGAAATGGAAACAACGTTTTGTACTCAAGTTATTTATGAACGTACCTGGAAAAAATGTATTCGAATGCCACGTAGCTTCGATGTAAAATTTATTAAATAAAACAGAAGCTGTTTAAACGGGGAGAGCTACGTTTAACAAAGGGTGTATAAAAATTATGAAAGCATTGAAATGGAAACAATGGGTTTTATTTCGCTATTTATTCAAACGCAGTCGAGCCTCGCATTGTATGGCCGTTACATCACCGATGACAAAGGATTGTTAATTTTTTCCTGAAATAGTTTGCTGATAGATACACGTGATATCTGTTTCGGGATTAAATCTCTGCCATTGCAGAGCAAATAGCCGATAAATGTTCCTTTCATCGAATACACGATCGAATATAATTTTTATATCGCGATATATTTCCCTTCGTGACTGAAACAGTAGTAAAATTACACGATTTTAATGACCTCGGTAAATTAAACGTGCACATGTTTCGATCGAAGAATATGCTTGTTTAAATGTTCGTCGAGATTATTGCTATATGCTTTGAGAAAATAAACAACGAAACTCTCCTTCTGCCGAGTGAAATAATATTAACAGTACAATGGAACAAATGAGTCGAGCTTCGTAATAAACTCTATGAAACAGGAAATATAATTTTAGGACATTATTAAAGTTTATTCCAGAATTATTTCTGGGAAAATGTAATGGAGATAAAGCAGAGCTGCAGTTGAAACTGGAATAAGCTTTGATGGGATATCATTTAATTGTTTTTGATGTTAAAGGAGCTTTGTTAATTATTAATTCGTTACACTGTCAATATTTTATATTTGTAACAATTTCGTAAACTGCCATATTAATATTTTATAAAATCAGCTTTTAATAATTTTGTTTTAACAAGTTTTAAAAATGATTACAGTAAAATGTGAAGAGCGGATTATTATTTAAACATCTTGGAAAATACGAGAAATGTATAATAAAATTAATGGAAGACAATGGAACAGAATTTTCTGCTTGAAAGTTTCTCAAATTCACTGTAAACCGATTGACCTCGTTAATAATTAACGAATATCGCAGTTCTCGAGAAATGTTCTTTCTTCAGATTAAATTTAAATCCTTCCCAAACTTATTCAAATAAGCTAATTTTATCTGCAACTTTAATATCAACACATAAATTCTAATTTATGAAAGAAAGAGGTTACGAAACTTTCGAGAGATCTACATGAAACAGAAATACGCTTTAAACGATGATTAAAGAGAATATCTTCGAGCACTGCAACTAAAAACGTCCATTTTGTTTCAGTGGAGGTTATGTTCCTGATATGGGGTATCAGATTGTGCATTGTAGTGAGAAAAACACCGTCGGAGTTTAATGAAAGCCGTTTCATCTCGATGGCGATTTACAACGAATTTCTACTCTCAGTCTTCCTCAACGTTTCCATGTGAGTACCGTCCGCCATTTTGTGTAGGAAACACGAAATGGCGCCTCGCTTCAAATTAAACTTCCCACAAGAATTTTGCCGAATTAACCTCAAAATATTTTAGGAATTGTTTTTGTATATTAATATTCTAGATTAACATGATTATAATAACGTTTACGTGTGAGTACCGTCCGCCATTTTGTGTAGGAGACACGAAATGACGCCACGCTTCAAATTAAACTTCCCACAAGAATTTTGCCGAATTAACCTCAAAATATTTTAGGAATTGTTTTTGTATATTAATATTCTAGATTAACATGATTATAATAACGTTTACGTGTGAGTACCTTCCGCCATTTTGTGTAGGAGACACGAAATGGCGCCTCCGCTTCAAATTAAACTTCCCACAAGAATTAACCTCAAAATATTTTAGGAATGTTATCGTTTAATATCCCAAATTAACATGAATATAATAACAATTATATTAAATACCGTAAAAATAAATACTCTTACAAAGACTTTTTCACGAGTCTGAAGAAAAACGAGGATTTCAGTAACCGCGTGACTTAACCTAAAATAGAGTGGTATCCCAAAAGGTTGAAACCGGTGGCTAAAAGTGTTGCAAAAAAGCGAAAACACCGATTGCCTAACGAATCGTTAATTTCGATAATGTATTCCACCGATAGTCAACGACGTTCGCGAACTGGAGCGGAATACCGGAAGTGGTTGTGGTACGGTTCGGTCGCACGTGTTTCGCATAAATAATGTTAGCAGAGTGCGGCAGCATCCTTTGCCGGTCGTCCGCTGGAAACGGTATCGAATTAAGCCGAACGTTTTATGAGAGGTTAGGGTTACATTTTGTCGGGGACCAGCCGTTACGCGTGCCTCGAGTTCCTGCCTAACCTCCTTACCTTCGTTGTCTTCTTTAATGTTAATTACACCCGCGAGGAATTTCAGAGATATTGAAATGGGAAAAAAGCTTTCTTGTACATTTTAAATGGTTATAACATCTTTTTTAATTCTTATTCTTTTTAACGGTCATTTTATGACAGGTTGGGTTAGGTTGGTTTGATGCGAAGAAGTCGCTTGAAATATTCTTGTAATGTTTATGATACGTGGTTTAATAAAAATGTTTATGTATATTGAAATTGAGTTACGTGTACGTACATTGTATGCTAACTTAATGAATATGTTCCAGTCTTGATACACAGACCTAACCTCACTCTGTCACTTTCGAAATGAAATTAAAATAAAACTTCATATTCTAATTTGTTTATTGTAGTCGTCCACTGTAAACTTCAGAGTTAAATGAAATATCAAAGCTTCATATTCAATGTTCAAAATTAAATAAAGTCAGACATAACCTCACTCTGCCACTTTCGATATGAAATTAAAATAAAGCTTCATATTGTAATTTGTTTATTGTAGTCGTCCACTGTAATCATCAGAGTTAAATGAAATATCGAAGCTTCATATTCAATGTTCAAAATTAAATGAAGTCAGACATAACCTCACTCTGCCACTTTCGAAATGAAATTAATACAAAACTTCATATCGTAATTTGTTTATTGTAGTCGTCCACTTTAATCTTCATAGGTAGATGACTTATCAAAGCTTCATCCTTGATATCTGAAGTGAACCTACACCTAACCTCAAACTTCAAATTTATTAATCTAACTCAACCTTTCCGACATTTCTAATAAATCGAAATCCTAACCTAATTTGTAGAAAACCCAGCTTTATCTTAGAGGTAAAAAATTAAACAGTCCTTTCCTAACCTAACCTAACCTAACCTCTCTATATTTGAACCGAAAGCGCTCGCAAGGTATAAAGAACAAATTTATCGTCTCCTATACACATAACCAGCGACACAATACGATTTATAGGTTTATCAAGAAGCATTCGAGCATCGTAAAGAAACGGCCTACGAAAGTGCCTTCACGCCGCAATCTTTCTGGTTGCAGGTTGTTCTTGCAGTCGCCGGCCAATCCGGATTTATTGTACGTGATATTTTTCTGTCACACCCAGCTCACGGTGACGCTGCTGCTGTGCCTCATATTCGGCAGCAAGGTAAGATCGATCTCGTAGTCTGTTTTCATGCGGTCCGCGACGTGACAAATGGCGGGGCGGGATCCTCGGGTCCCGAAGTCTCTGGCCAGCGGAATTTATTTATTTCACGGCACGCATATTGATCAGACGGTAACAGCGTGCGGCCCCTGCTGGTTGCAACTTGTAAACCAGCCGAGCAGCGGTCTAATTTATTCTGGTTGCAGAATGGCGATGAAAAATCGCCGACCCGTGACAGATTTTGTGCGGATCCATTGTTCTGCTACTACGAATTTGGTAATTGTTATTAATTCCTCTTGGAGCCGATATTTCGTTGGTACTTGCTGGGATTAATATTTGAATCGCCTGCGTTTATCGATGAAATGAGGCGCAGAAATCTAGGGTGAGGCACCACCTGAATAACTTTCCTGATAAAATTAGATCAAAGGTTAGGTTAGGTCACTTCTGGTGATCGGTTTCAAGTGTCTCACCCAGAGAACACAATAATACAAAACGGACAGAAATATTCTTATAATCAAACCAGCAACTAACACATAATTATCACGTGTGTAACATGTGGCTAACATGTCGATGTGGATCTAACCTACGTGGATGACTCTTGTGAATAAAAATCTTATGGTATTTGAAGTTGAGTCATAGAGTATATAGTCAGTGTAAAGGCTTGAACACATAATTTTATCTGACCAGTTAATCCACAACTACGAGCTTTTAAAGTTCATCGAATTACGAGGGCCATCCGACCCTAATTTTTTGTGGAGTGCTAACAGGGTTAATGGATCAGTGTCGCAGTTTTTACGGGAAAGTTCCTCGAGGTTTGTCTGCGAAGTAGCAATGAAAACCTTCGATTTGCAGTCCAGACCGGAGGACAGTCTGAAAGGTCACAGGTCCATCGTTCCTCGTCCGTTTCTGTCTGACCTACGGTCACCATTTTTCACGAAGTCTAAGCTAAAAAGTAACATGTAGTCCTCCCTTGCAAAGCTGCTTCAAGATTAAGGTCGCCTCGTGGGTGCTGAGTCGTCAGATTCCGTGTGACAAAAATTCCGTGGAAACTGACTTGTCGAATTTTCGATCGGCAAAAATTTCGACGGGTCTTATCGATCAAGGAGGGAAATCTGAAAAGAGCCGACGCCAAAGAAACGAGGTTCCATTCCATTTACTTTGTTCCCAAACCCTCCGGTGCAGCTTTACGGGCTACAAAAAAGGGAACGTCTGTCTTCTGCACCAATCTGCTGATTGATTTGCCAGGGAATCCTCTGTAACGGCTAACAGTCTGAGCAGCTTATCCTTTGCTGGAGTTGTACTCCCATTATTTCGCCGAACGCTTCTACGTTCTCCATTAAACGTCTATCCGCTTCTTCGCGGATATTTGTAAGGGTAACGTGTCTCGAACGATTAGCTACAGGTTGATTCAAAACAGGATGACAATTTAGGGACTTCAAGCTTTTGAGGAAAATCTGGGGAATTTGGGGAATTTGGAGAATTTGTGGAAGTCGGGAATTTGGAATTGGGGGAATTTGGAATTGGGGAAATTTGGAATTGGGGGAATTTGGAATTGGGAGAATTTGGAATTGGGGAAATCTGGAATTGGGGAAATTTGGAATTGGGGAAATTTGGAATTGGGGGAATTTGGAATTTTGGGGAGCTTGGAATTTGGGGAGCTTGGAAATTGGGGAGCTTGGAATTTGGGGAGCTTGGAATTTGGGGAATCTGGAATTGGGGGAATTTGGAATTGGGGGAATTTCGAATTTGGGGAGCTTGGAATTTGGAGAGCTTGGAATTTGGGAAGCTTGGAATTTGAGGAGCTTGGAATTTGGGTAATTTGGAATTGGGGGAATTTGGAATTTGGAAAATTTGCAATTTGGAGAATTTGAAATTTGAAAAAACAATTGAAATCTGAAAAGATTCAGCTCGCACCGCCATTTCAGCACTCCATAAGTTATTTAAACCGCCGCTGGCCAGAATTGTTCGCGCAACTTGTCCATATGGAGGATCTCGCGAGAAACTGGGTGTCGACTGAAACTTGCTTGTTTAATGTAGGCCTACGTGGTGTTCCGCAGCGGAGGCAAGGACGACTCGAAACACTTCGGGGCCACCGGGAAATTTCTGGGAAAAAGCAGCCGCCCGGCGGGCACCAGCAACCAGACCAACTCCATATCCCTTCAGCAAGGAAACTTCACCGACGAGAGTGACGGTGCCACGGTAAGAACACTTCGGGGCTTCTGTTTCTGCTAGCAAAACGTCCCCTCCCACTGTAGATGGTGTTTTGTCGCGATGAATTGTGGGGATCTGCGCGTTTCAGGTTGCGGTTTATTATAATCAGATCTGGAGGACTATGTAGACATTTGGGACTATGTTCAGCAGACATTTGTACTGTAAAAATTTAGTGACTATTATTGATACTCATTATTGATACTTATTATTGATATTTATTATTGATACTCATTATTGATACTCATTATTGATACTTAGTATTGATACTTAGTATTGATATTTATTATTGATACTCATTATTGATACTTATTATTGATACTCATTATTGATATTTAGTATTGATATTTAGTATTGATACTCATTATTGATACTCATTATTGATACTTATTATTGATACTCATTATTGATACTTAGTATTGATATTTATTATTGATACTCATTATTGATATTTAGTATTGATATTTAGTATTGATACTCATTATTGATACTTATTATTGATACTCATTATTGATCCTCATTATTGATACTTATTATTGATACTTATTATTGATACTTAGTATTGGTATTTATTATTGATACTTATTATTGATACTTATTATTGATACTTGTTATTGATATTTATTATTGATACTCATTATTGATACTCATTATTGATGCTCATTATTTGCACCTATGTCACCATAGTAACCACAAGAATTTATCATAATATTCCTGTAGTCACTACAGACATGTCCACATTAATCAAGCTAGCTGTCCAATCATAAATGACTATGGCTGCTATAGTCACCTATCACAGACTGAGATATAGAAAGTCCTTGCATAAATTCCTCAATAAATTACAGACAACCAATCCTTAAGTGATATATTGAAAAAGATCTACTCCAGCTAATTTCTAACACCATCTAAAATAACAAAATGGCGACCACATCCTAAGGGAAGAATGATGTCCATGGAATCCCTGGGCACTATATCCTGGCGAGCAGACCACGATTATCCGTGTTCCGTAGTTCCCGATAAGGAAGAACTCATTCAAGATCGATCATGGTTATCATGCGTACAAGGACACACCATATATCGCTTGCACACCATGCAGGCAAATACCGATTAATAGTCATCGAACCGTCGTTGCCCATTGTACGAAAAGCCGATTAATAGAACGACCTGCCGCGTTAATTACGATATCGACGTTAGAGAAACCGATTTACTAATGGCCGGGTTAAACGCGAACTAATGGACCCCATTGAAACTCCACGACGGCGTACAGTTCCCGTTGTCTGACCTTGACTTTAAAACGTCCTAAGCAAACGTTCTATCTTTAATTCGGATCAATTTAATCCACGTTTCTACGCAGTGACCTTAAAGGTTGCTTTCAAGGATTCAGTTATGGGTCAAAATGTCCCTGCGCTTCTGAGGGATTAAGGTGCCTTCTAAATCAGATTTTAATTACGGATCAAAAGGATCTTGTTCCAGGAATTAAAATAAAGCACCTTTATCTTTAAATAAAATTCTTGCGAAGGCCCTTCGTCTTCTGGTAATTAAAATAGTACCTTTTCAAAGGGTACGTCTTTGATCCTGCATTCAAATTATTTTTTAATTAAAACACGAGTGCTCGTATAATCACAGTACGTTGCAGGATAGAGAAATAGCGAAAAATGAAAATTTACAGCGTATCGATTAAAAGGTAACCTCTTAATGTTCGTAAATCCTGGTCGTGGTTTGGGGAATCGAGTTTCGAGGATCGAACGGACGCCGGTTAAACGTTGTATGCGGTATTCCAGCTCTGGCTGCATTAGTTTCGACAAAAGGGATCGCGCGATAAAGGCCGAGCACGAGAACAAATGTCATCCTCGAGGCTTTTAGGGCGGCGAAGATTGCCGGGCCGGTGGCAAAAAGCCTGGAAAATTGCGTCGACCTGAAAGACACGCTCGGTGAAACGCGGGAAAAAAAGAAAATTTCAACCTCGACATTCGACCGTCGATGACGACGGTCCGTTCCTCTTTAAGGTTAGGTGCGCTTCAATCGATGTTGACGTGCGATTAATCGAATGGGGAGATGGGGAATTTGGGAGATGGGGAATTTGGGATTTGGGGAATTTGGAATTTGGAGAGTTGAGAATTTGGGAAGTTGGAAATTTGGAGAGGTGGGAAATCTGAGAGTTGGGAAATTAGGGAGCTGGGAAATTACAGAGTTGGGAAATTAGAGAGTGGGGAATTTGAAGAGTGGGGAATTCGGGGAGTTGGAAATTTGGAGAATTTGAAATTTAGGGAGTTCGGAATTTGGAGAGGTGGGAAATCTGAGTGGGAATTTGGAGAGCTGGGAAATTAGAGAGCTGGGAAATTAGAGAGTTGGGAAATTAGAGAGTGGGGAATTTGGAGAGTGGGGAATTTGGAGAGTTGGGAAATTAGAGAGCTGGGAAATTAGAGAATGGGGAATTTGGAGAGTGGGGAATACGGGGAGTTGGGAATTTGGAGAATTTGAAATTTGGAGAGTTGGGAATTTGGAGAGGTAGGAAACCTGAGAGTTGGGAAATTAGGGAGCTGGGAAATTAGAGAGTTGGGAAATTAGAGAGTGGGGAATTTGGAGAGTGGGGAATTTGGAGAGTTGGGAAATTAGAGAGCTGGGAAATTAGAGAGCGGGGAATTTGGAGAGCTGGGAATTTGGAGAGTTGGGAATTTGGAGAATTTGGAATTTGGGGAGTTGGGAATTTGGAGAGGTGGGAATTTGGAGAATTTGGAATTTGGGGAGTTGGGAATTTGGAGAGGTGGGAATTTGGAGAATTTGGAATTTGGGGAGTTGGGAATTTGGAGAGGTGGGAATTTGGAGAATTTGGAATTTGGGGAGTTGGGAATTTGGAGAGGTGGGAATTTGGAGAATTTGGAATTTGGGGAGTTGGGAATTTGGAGAGGTGGGAATTTGGAGAATTTGGAATTTGGGGAGTTGGGAATTTGGAGAGGTGGGAATTTGGAGAATTTGGAATTTGGGGAGTTGGGAATTTGGAGAGTTGGGAAATTAGAGAGTGGGGAATTTGGGGAGTTGGGAATTTGGAGAGGTGGGAATTTGGAGAATTTGGAATTTGGGGAGTTGGGAATTTGGAGAGGTTGGAAATTAGAGAGGTGGGAAATTAGAGAGCTGGGAAATTAGAGAGCGGGGAATTTGGAGAGCTGGGAATTTGGAGAGTTGGGAATTTGGAGAATTTGGAATTTGGGGAGTTGGGAATTTGGAGAGGTGGGAGATCTGAGAGTTGGGAAATTAGAAAGCTGGGAAATTAGAGAATGGGGAATTTGGAGAGCTGGGAAATTAGAGAGGTGGGAAATTAGAGAGTTGGGAAATTAGAGAGTGAGCAATTTTGACAGCTGAGAATTTGGAAATTTGGGAATTTAGGGAATTTGGAATTTGTGAAAGTGTGACTCTGGTGCATTGGCAACTTGAAGGACTAGAAATTTGAAAAATTGGCAATTTGTAGAATTAGAAAAATTTACCCGAAGCATTCCACCTTGATAACCAATTCGATCAGCAGTTTTAAGGTTAGATTAGTTCGCCCGAATCGATCTCAATCGCGCCACGAATCGACGTTAAAAACAGATTCCCCTCAATTCCCTTCCAGTTGATTAATTAATTCTTCATTCAAGTACAGTGCCTTCCGATTATATTCTTTTTTAAAGTTACGCAACGCTGTGTAAGCCTGAACCTCTTAACTCGAACCTCGAAATTCAAAGTAAATAGTATTTCTGTAATGGTCAAACTTTAATTAAACTTCCTTTCCTCTTTCGTGTATACTTTAGGGTGTTCTTCTTCTATTTCTCTTTTTATTTCAACCCCTTCAGAGACGCCGACAAAGGTGCAGATTTTTATTTCGTTCAGTCTGGGAAATATACGCTGCATTTTACTGTGAATCCTATATCTGAAATATTCTTAAATATTACATTAATTATCATAATCAGTTGATAAAATCGGGCGATTATTTTGAATAAATCACTGGTGACATTTCGACAAATTAATTTTGCGTTATTATGCCACATTTTAGTTTAACATTTAGATGAGATGATTGAAACTGTCGTGTTCGAGCGACGTTATCGACAGTGTCCATACATTTAATCATTGAATTTAATTATCGCACAAACTATCCAGCTACGCTAACATCTCTATATTGAAATTAATAGCGAGGCAATTAGTGACATTCTGTTAAATGTATAATTATGAAAGTGTTCACGACTACCGTATTACCGATTCGTGAATGTATTGCTCATTAATAATCATTCAATGTTAAATGTCCGTTTCATGTTTGCATTCATTATCAATTGTCAGACCATATTTTAAATATGCTATTTTAGATTGTTTGTCCCACCTGAATAAATAATAATTCATAGAATGTCAATGGAACTCTATAATTGGTTCGGTTAATTGCTTCACAGCAATTTGTGTGTCTCACATTTACGAGTTTTGTCATTATCGAGTTTTCTGACTTTCAAATTTGATCATTTCTTAATTCCTGTAGTCTTTAGTTCCTGTATCCCTTTATTCCCCTGCTCACTAGTTTCCCTACTCCCCAGTTTCCCCACTACCTAGTTCCCCCACTCCCTAATTCCCTCACTCTCTAGTGCTCCCATTTCCTAGTACCCCCACTCTCTAGTTCCCCCACTCCCTAGTTCCCCCACTACCTAGTTCCGCCACTCCCTAATTCCCTCACTCTCTAGTGCCCCCACTCCCTAGTTCCCCCACTCCCTAGTTCCCCCACTCCCTAGTTCTCCCACTCCCTAATTCCTTCACTGTCTAGTTTCCCCACTCCCCAGTTCCCCCACTCTCTAGTTCCCCCACTCCCTAGTTCCCCCACTACCTAGTTCCGCCACTCCCTAATTCCCTCACTCTCTAGTGCTCCCATTTCCTAGTACCCCCACTCTCTAGTTCCCCCACTCCCTAGTTCCCCCACTACCTAGTTCCGCCACTCCCTAATTCCCTCACTCTCTAGTGCTCCCATTTCCTAGTACCCCCACTCTCTAGTTCCCCCACTCCCTAGTTCCCCCACTACCTAGTTCCGCCACTCCCTAATTCCCTCACTCTCTAGTGCCCCCACTCCCTAGTTCCCCCACTCCCTAGTTCCCCCACTCCCTAGTTCCGCCACTCCCTAATTCCCTCACTCTCTAGTGCCCCCACTCCCTAGTTCCCCCACTCCCTAGTTCCGCCACTCCCTAATTCCCTCACTCTCTAGTGCCCCCACTCCCTAGTTCCCCCACTCCCTAGTTCCCCCACTCCCTAGTTCTCCCACTCCCTAATTCCTTCACTGTCTAGTTTCCCCACTCCCCAGTTCCCCCACTCTCTAGTTCCCCCACTCCCTAGTACCCCCACTACCTAGTTCCGCCACTCCCTAATTCCCTCACTCTCTAGTGCCCCCACTCCCTAGTTCCCCCACTCCCTAGTTCCCCCACTCCCTAGTTCTCCCACTCCCTAATTCCTTCACTGTCTAGTTTCCCCACTCCCCAGTTCCCCCACTTAGTTCCCTCACTACCTAGTACCCCCACTCTCTAGTTCCCCCACTCCCTAGTTCCCCCACTCCCTAGTTCCTCCACTCCTTAACTCCCTCACTCTCTACTACCCCCACTCCTTAGTTCCCTCACTACCTAGTACCCCCACTCTCTAGTTCCCCCACTCCCTAGTTCCCCCACTCCCTAGTTCCTCCACTCCTTAACTCCCTCACTCTCTACTACCCCCACTCCTTAGTTCCCTCACTACCTAGTACCCCCACTCTCTAGTTCCCCCACTCCCTAGTTCCCCCACTCCCTAGTTCCTCCACTCCTTAACTCCCTCACTCTCTACTACCCCCACTCCTTAGTTCCCTCACTACCTAGTACCCCCACTCTCTAGTTCCCCCACTCCCTAGTTCCCCCACTCCCTAGTTCCTCCACTCCTTAACTCCCTCACTCTCTACTACCCCCACTCCTTAGTTCCCTCACTACCTAGTACCCCCACTCTCTACTTTCCCCACTCCCTAATTCCCTCACTACCTAGTTCCCCCACCCCTCACTACCCATATCCAAAAATCCCTACATTCCAAACTTCCCATCTCACAACCTTCATTCGTATTTCGCAACTACTCCCACTTGACTTCCGCTAAAATATCTTTCCTCGGCTTGAAAAATTGCAGGAAGAATTTCGTCGTTTTATCAACCAGCTGGAAGTACTGAAGGAGAAGAACGTTCTGCTGGGAAATCATCACTTGGTGAACAAGTTGGCGGCAATGCAGGAGGCTGCTAACCGCGCCGAAACTCAGGTGTCCACGATCCAAGCGATCTCCTCGAGCATGAGACTGAACGATCTAAGTGGGTCCACGGCGATCGCTGAGACTGATGTCGGAGAACCTCACAAAAGCGAGGAGAAGGGTAAGTCAATTCGTTTGTTCATGGACTACTGTTATACATCAAGGTCTTATACAGGATGATTCAAAAGTAGTGTCCCTCGTTACTTTTAATAGCTAAGATCTTTATCTCTCTTAGAGATTGTTTGAACGTCCTAGAATTCGTTTGTTTATACACTACTCTTATACATCATGACTGTATAGGATGATTCAAAAGTGGTGTCCGTCGTCACTTTCAACAGCTAAAATCTTTATCTCTCTTGAAGATTGATTGAACGTCCTAGAATTCGTTTGTTCATACACTACTCTTATACATCATGACTGTATAGGATGATTCAAAAGTGGTGTCCCTCGTTACTTTCAATAGCTAAGATCATTATCTCTCTTGAAGATTGTTTAAACGTCCTAGAATTCCCTTGTAAATTTTAAAGCACCACTTTTGAATCTCCCTGTATGAAGACATTTATGGATACAACACCATTACGAATTTATATTTTGTTCATCTTCAAATACTTGCAAGAAGAATCCTATCTCCATTCAGAACGAATCACACCCAGTTATTTCTTGATGGTATCCAATCTAGTAGTGCTTAATGATCTCACGGTATCCACTTCCTTCTTTATGATACTCCCTTACGACACTCACTTCGCACTTCATGGCACTCATACCAATCGGAGACTCCTCGTCAGTCCACCTCATATTCCTGCACCTCGATTTAACCATGGCCCACTCGAACCGCCTGGCAAATCACGTATGTGCTCAGGTGGAGAGGTCAAAGAGGAGAAGAGGTGTCAAGCATGTATAGAGAAGAACGGGATCAAGAGCAAGGATCAAGGCTCCTCAAAGGACGCCGAAGTGCTGGTGGCTGTTGAGCCCAGGAAACCCGTGAGGACCAACGACGTTGCGGTATCCACTTCCGGTAAGCCGACCACCACAGAGGACATCGGGACGGAAACGCAACACGAGGAGAAAACGGGTGAGACGAAAGATAAGAGCAAAAGCAAATCCGGCCATGCGAGGACACACGCCATAGTCATCAATCTGGATGACAAGAGCAGGTTCTCCGAAGAAGTCACCGTTTGAGGTGATCGAACCTGTTCCTGTGAACTGTTTCAATTATAGTCTTCTAGTCACTTGAATCTCGAACGGTGCGATGCAGTGAAATAACATTCGAATAACGAGGAGTTTCCTTTCTGTTGGATAAGGGGTATAGATTCGGTTCTTTTCTCGATGCTTGCGCGAAACGAAGGTTATATATCGATTGTAGATGTAACAGTTCTGACGAGTTATAAAAATACAAATTTTCTTGAAACGTTTTATCTATGAAACATTGTGATATGCGCCTACGTGGGCGTTGGTTAATGAATCGAACACTAAAAAGAAACTTATAATATATGATAACTCAAGAAAATTGTATGCCATTGAAACTGTGTATTCTTCAGGAAAATACGAATCGAAAAGCTCTTTACCGTTTTTCGATCCGTTGCCTCGTTTGCGAAATACACGCAATCAAAGTTTGGAGTCTTACGGTCGCCATTTTGATATGGCCGCCATATCAAAATGGCGACCGTAAGACTCTAAACTTTAATTTCGTGTATCTCGGAAACGAGGCAACGGATTTGAAAACGGTAAAGGACTTTTCGACTTGTTTTTTCACGAAGAATTCACAGTGTTGACGGCATATATTTTTGTTGACACGCTTTAGATAGTCACAGACATTTCTACAGAGACAGAATATGAAATCTCTTGAAACATGATTTTCCTTTTCGTCGTATAGAAAAGGGGAAAGCACGAATGTCTTAGACACGTATCGTTCGAAAATTTTCAGTTCTTCGACTGGTAAATAAAGGGGCGAAAGAATGTTCAGTGGAGAAATGAGCCGAAATCTACGATGCGAAGGAAAACGCGATTTCGAGGATGGAAGAAAGTTGCAAAGTCTATTTCGATGCATTGTTCTCATAAATATGCATCACCGATACCGTCCCAGATAGAACAGGCTCCTCTTGTTTTCATTAAAACTTCTCTAGTCTTCGGTAACTTCTCCAGTCATGAATAAACGTTGACAGGAAAAGTTTGTTATCGATTCGAAATCAATTGAGACCGAATTTAAGCGTAAATAAATATTGTTAATAAATTTCATGGGTTACAAATAATGCAATCGATGCTTTTTATTTCGTCCAGTTTCGTTCAACACTGAAACAATTGTAGCATATTAAATTTTTTACATTTCACGGATCTGTATATTGCACAGCGCAGCCTATTTAACTTTGCATTTTTTAATCACGTACCGATTCTATAAATGAAGGACTGAATTTCGATAAATATTTCCACGAATTGGTTGAAAGCAAATGTTACATTTTCGACCACGTCGAGTTTTATCTGGGACACACGTTCATCAGCTACGAAAGTGATCAGTCGAACCTCGCGAAGCTTTCTGTAAATATTGTCGTTAGCTGCTTATTCGAAGTCTTCTGCCGTATGTTAAGTCGATTTTGTAAAAAAGAACATAAATAACACAGTAAGAGTCGATCTGCGAATGTGAGGTACGCAATTGTTTGATCGAATTCATATTTCCCGCCGTGTAGTATGGCGGACGCGGGAAATTTGAAATTTAAAAATGGGGAAGCGTAGAGAACTTGGAACATTTGAAGGTTTAGGGAATTGGGGATTTGGAGAATTGGGATTTGGGGAATTTGGGATTTGGGAAATTAGGACCTTGAGAAATTGGGATTTGGGAAATGGGGACTTTGGGAAATTGGGACTTTGGGACTTTGGGAAATTGGGACCTTGGGAATTTGGGACCTTGGGAAATTGGGACCTTGGGAAATTGGGACCTTGGGGAATTGGAACTTTGGGAAACTGGGTCCTTGGGAAATTGGGACCTTGGGAAATTGGGACGTTGGGAAATGGGGACCTCGGGAAATTGGGGCCTTGGGAAATTGGGACCTAGAGAAATTGGGACGTTGGGAAATTGGAACTTTGGGAAATGGGGACCTTGGGAAATTGGGACGCTGAGAAATTGGGACCTTGGGAAATTGGGACCTTGGGGAATTGGAACTTTGGGAAACTGGGTCCTTGGGAAATGGGGACCTCGGGAAATTGGGACGTTGGGAAATTGGGATCTTGGGAAATTGGAACTTTGGGAAATTGGGACCTTGGGAAATTGGGATCTTGGGAAATTGGAACTTTGGGAAATTGGGACCTTGGGAAATTGGGATCTTGGGAAATTGGAACTTTGGGAAATTGGGACCTTGGGAAATTGGGATCTTGGGAAATTGGAACTTTGGGAAATTGGGACCTTGGGAAATTGGGATCTTGGGAAATTGGAACTTTGGGAAATTGGGACCTTGGGAAATTGGGATCTTGGGAAATTGGAACTTTGGGAAATTGGGACCTTGGGAAATTGGGATCTTGGGAAATTGGAACTTTGGGAAATTGGGACCTTGGGAAATTGGGATCTTGGGAAATTGGAACTTTGGGAAATTGGGACCTTGGGAAATTGGGATCTTGGGAAATTGGAACTTTGGGAAATTGGGACCTTGGGAAATTGGGATCTTGGGAAATTGGAACTTTGGGAAATTGGGACCTTGGGAAATTGGAACTTTGGGGAATTGGGACCTTGGGGAATTGGAACTTTGGGAAATTGGGCCCTTGGGAAATTGGGACCTTGCGAAATTGGAATCTTGGGAAATTGGGACCTTAGGAAATGGAAACTTTGGGAAATTGGGACCTTGGGAAATTGGGACCTTGGGGAATTGGAACTTTGGGAATTTGGGACCTTGGGAAATTCGGTATTTGGAAAATTTAGAATTTGGGGAACTGGGACTCAGAAATGAAGTTCAAAAATTTTCAAATTTCCAAATCCCCAAATTAGACGATGGATCAGTTGCGCACCCCTGCTATAGATCAAACGAAAAGGGAGACGGCCACCGTCTCCCTGTCCTTCTCTCTCATATCAATCCACCTGTTGTAAATATACGTTTGTAAATACCTGCGTCATGCGAATTTGCCACTAGACCGTAACGATCGGTTTTATTGTTAAGGTCGTGCGCTAGGTGATCTCACGAACATTGTTAGGCTGTAATTTACATGTGATCATGGACACGTTTCGTCGTACGGCGTTAATGAACGACGATGCTGGATCAGAGTGTGCGTTGATGCTCTAGTTACAGTATTTACCGATCTCAGTTTAACAGTTTATGCAAATTAGTCGTTTAATCGCAATTTCGTCGAAACTTGCGACAGAAATGTGATATTAGGTAAACCGATGTTATATCGTATGGTTCCTATCTCCGTTACTCGGTAATGAGGGAATCACTATTTGTACCTGTTTGTTGCTACGAACGATATTATTTAACGTTATAAAATTATAATTGTTTAAATATCTACAAAGTAACTTAAATGTTTCAACTTTTAGGTTAGCTTCTTTTGTTATTCGTGGATGTTGTGAAGAATACTTGTTATATTGCAGACCCTTTCTGTATTGAAGATGATTATGATTAACATATATATTAAATTTTAAATTACAGCGATATTAAAATTTATAGCAGTTCTAGGTACTGGACTTTGTGCAGTAAACGTGTCCTTTGCTACTCTTCTGAAAATGGTAATCGCAGACATACCACTTTTTATTACAGATTTTCATCTTTCATATTGCACATCTTCAATTTCTGGCAATATTTGAAACTTTTATTACAAACTGTCATTTTTACTATTGACTGAAATATTTCAACTCCTTTCTTAGTATGTAATATAGTTTATGAAGAATGTTAAGTTTAGTAAGAATAATATAATAAGGAATTCCAACATGGCGTTCATTAACGTATTATGCGAAATTCCATTTACGTAAACGATTTGATTATGCATATCGGTCTATCACCTCCATCTTAAGAGCAGTTACGGGCAGCGGTTCCCAGAGGACGCCAGCGTGCACACTTATGGATAATCTACGATTGTACGAGTACGTCAGACTGTCCCTAGGGGAATGTCCCCAGACAGTTAAGCGCCTAACTGTTCCACAAGGATGAGAAGCTTCTGTGATCCACGAAAATCGGTTGATCCTCGATTCCTCGACGGAATCGTTTGCGGAAAATTGCAAAATATCGAGAAACGATTTTATTCGCCGCTCATTTCGATTCGCGTTTGACGAAACATACCTAAAATTGTATAGAATACATGTTGTTATCATACGATCGATCGCGTAAGTTCCATTCTAGGGTAACGTTGGTTTTAAGAGAATCGATTTTATGTGACTACTCTTGTAACTGGCAAGCGTGCCAGTGAGTACATTCATGAATAAATAAATAAACAAACGAACATCTTAGTCGATTCATTCTGAGTCCCCTTCCTTCGTGTGTCGTATTAACCTACCCTGCGTTAGATTTCGGGTTAAATATTCAGGATGATCAATATTTATTTCCAATCTTTGTGACACCTGTCTGTCAAAAGCGTCAGATCAGTGATCCTTCATAGCAACCGAGTAGCTAAACTTATGCTAGACTAATACCATCAGAGGTAGACGCTGAGGTGTCGTTCCAAAATTCAAACATAATTTTCTGCAAAACGAAGCGACCTATAAGAGAAAGTTACTGCACATTTTTTACCTATAAGTAGCTAAACTTATGCTAGACTAATACCATCAGAGGTAGACGCTGAGGTGTCATTTCAAAATTCAAACATAATTTTCTGCAAAACGAAGCGACCTATAAGAAAAAGTTATTGCACATTTTTTACCTATAAGTAGCTAAACTTATGCTAGACTAATACCATCAGAGGTAGACGCTGAGGTGTCGTTGCAATATTCAAACATAATTTTCTGCAAAACGAAGCGACCTATAAGAAAAAGTTACTGTACATTTTTTATGTATATTGTCGAGAAGAATCAAGGTATATAGGTTTGCATCCGAAATATTCCACCATATGGATTATATTAAGCAAAATGTAATTGTTCCCAAGGGACGCTGCATAATCTATGGCCCAACGAGAACGTTTCTAGGTTAGGTAGAATATTGGGACCGGTTAGTGAAAACGTAGTCAAGAAATTACCTGTTTAAATTAATCATTGCCCCATGGCGCCATAAATTTCTAACCGTTTCAAATTAACCGTCTGCGATGTAACTTCGTTAATTCGATTGGTCGACACGGTTTCATAAAGGACGGTATGGCTAGCGCCGAACACATCGAGGCTATTAATTAACAACAATGCTCGTTCCTGGAATCTGATCGTAATGACGGAAGGGCAAACAATTCATTGGTTAGCCATGTATCGTGCGTTAATAATCTACGCATCGTATGCCTGAAATTCCCTCGATATTAATTGTCGCCGCGACACCGTCAAGCACAGCTACGCCAATTTTGCCGCGACAACCTCGCCATCTACGATTACGAATTCGATGGCTGGATCCATCGATCGTTCAGGGACAAACGCGTGCCTGTATTAACCAATTAATTGACGCTTCTCTGTGCGACAGCACGGTTCGTCAACCTACTAATTGCATGATATTGGTCTGCGGCGCTTCGATTTTCCGTGACAAAGCCAACCGGACACCATACTTTCATTCTGGGACTTAAGGGTTTTATTGGGAAATAATTTGGGAGATTGGACGATGTGAGAATTTGACAATGTGAGAATCTGACAATGTGCGAATTAGACAATGAGAGAATTAGAAAATGTGAGAACTGGACAATGTGAGAACTGGACAATGTGAGAACTGGACAATGTGAGAATTGCGAATTGGACAATGTGAGAATTAGACAATGTGAGAATTGGACAATGTGAGAATGGGACAATGTGAGAATTAGACAATGTAAGCATCTGACAATGTGAGAATTAGACAATGTGAGAATGGGACAATGTGAGAATTCGACAATGTAAGAATCTGACAATGTGCGAATTGGACAATGTGAGAATTAGACAATGTGAGAATGGGACAATGTGCGAATTGGACAATGTGAGAATTGGACAATGTGAGAATGGGACAATGTGAGAATTAGACAACGTGAGAATTGGACAATGTGAGAATTCGACAATGTAAGAATCTGACAATGTGCAAATTAGACAATGTGAGAATTAGACAATGTGAGAATGGGACAATGTAAGAACTGGACAATGCGAGAATTGGACAATGTGAGAATGGGACAATGTGAGAATTAGACAATATCAGAATTTGACAACGTGAGAATTCGACAATGTAAGAATCAGACAATGTGAGAATACGAAAACTTGAAAAGTAAAAATTTTCAGGCAATTTAAGTAGAACAATAAAGAGTGGTATAATAAGGATATTGGACGAGGAGTTAGGAAACGTACAACTCGTATAATACAATTGTACCCCGTGACAGTTTCGTGAACTGGAAACTTTGGTACTTTGGAATTCAAGAAACTGTTAAATTATGTAACGTAGCCTGTTCCTTTAGCAGCTGCATGAAACTTAGTGTTAGGATTTAAATGAATGCATACCGTAGCCTGTCGGACACAGTTAACAAACAATTAGCGAGAGCTGTAGAGAATCGGGGAAACTTGGCGATTACGTTTAAGACACTTCAATTATACGTTCATTTAACGCGGCGGATAAGAACTGGTGCTGTAGTTCTTTCAATTCTTCCAATATCGTTAACCTTAATTTACTGATGTAGAAGTAATAAGGAGCTCTTCATGGGTCAAGATTTTCAGATGGGAAAGTGGTCAAATAGATAGTTT